TTGCTTAATCACTCTGTGTGAGACTTATATCCCATATTTCATGGGGCATATGGGAGTTTGACAGTATGTTGGCCAGCTCAGACCCAAGACATGGCTATGCCACCATTTAGAGGTAGGTGACCCATCATGGGGTTGTGTGTGCACTTCGTATAATCCTCTTAATGGGAATGGAGTATGAGGGGACACATAGACAAAAGCCCAGTCCTCTCATTACATGAGGTCCAGGAGTTTATTGGGAATGAACATGAATTCTACCCACAGCCAGGGTTGAGAAATAAATAGGCGTGGCTGATGCACCACAGGGCAGGAAAAGCAATGAAAGTCAGGTCACAGGTGAGGTACACACAGTTCTTGTTGCTGAGATTGGCTGACATCTTACTCTAGGCCAAACTCTGTTTTAAGCAACTAACATGTATAAACTTTTACTTTTTCCAATCCCTGTGAAGAAGGCCATTTTTTGAGTTAGGAAACCAAGGCCCAGAGAATGTAACCGACTTGCTTGAGGCTACTCAGCCAGTAAGTGGCAGAGTGGCGATGGAGAGTGAGCAGTCTTGAACGGTGCTCTTAACTCTTACACCATCTGGCTCTAATCAAACCCACTCTTGACAGAGCAGAGCTCTAACACATCCTGGGCAGGAGAAGTGAGGGTGAAAATAGAGCTCTTTATTACTGGAAAGTGAATAAACTCTCCTGGGGAAAGCTTTCTCAGAGAGTTGGTGAGTAAAACTGAAGCGCTGTAGCACAGGAGGCCCCACTGTGTTTGTATCAAAAGCACTGGGCCCCCTGGGATAAAGGTGCTTCTCCATACTGGATGGAGAGAAAGTCTAGGAGATACATGAGGCAGACAGAGAACACAAGGCTTCCAGAAAGCACCAGTGGAGATGGCACAGGACACCGGGTGTCTGCACTCAGGCCTTGCACAGTGGTCCAGATGTAGTACTGAGCCTGGAAGTAAGCTGTGTAGATTCTGGCATTAGTGAGCTTGGCAATGAACTGAGGATGCTAAGAGCCAAGCATTGTGGGCAGACACTGGGACAGCACATCCCCTCTCTCAGCTTTTAAGACTTCTGTACTGGGGCCTAACAAAGGAAGAGGAAAATTCACAAGCCGTACATACCCAGTCCCATGAACATTTCTACGCTAAACCCAACCCATGAGCAAGATCAAAAACTAAAATGTAGCCAGCACCCTCCTTCCTGTCATCTCTGCCTAAGATCACCACTCCCTTGACATTCTAAGCCTTGGTTTTGTTTTACCTGATTTCCATCGTTATATAAGTGGAATAACTCCTGTATACTCTTTCATGTCTTACTTCCTTTGCACAGCTTCATGTTTGTGATTTTTATCCTTATTATTGTAGGTAGGTCTTGTTCACTCTTACTGCGGCACGGTATTCCCATGAAGACAAGTGTCATAGTTGACGGGTAGTAGGCAATTTTCAGTTTAGAGCCCCTCCCCTTTTGAGAACTCATGGGAAGACACAAATGAAGAGGACTGGGAAACTTACACTGGCCAATTGAGGAACAAGTCCTTATGATAATTGCCTTAGGGCTCATGACAGAAGATTTTCAGAAATATTTGGAGAGAAGGACACCTGGAGAGTATAAACACAGATCTGTGGACTGAAATGTGAGTGTTTGGCTATAAATTTGCCTTCCCTTTTACTCTGGAGAAGTCTGGGACATGTGGGTTATGAGAATTGGAAACGATATATGAAACACCTAACCTAGCACCAAGTAGAGATCCAGTAAATAGAAGCAGATCAGGTTGTTAGCCACATGCTGAATAACCAATCTCAACTTTATGAATCAATCTTTACATTTAGCAAAAATGGAATGTGGTGATGAGAAAGAGACAGATGTCTGAAAAGTTATATTGTTATCATTCTTATGGACCCCATAGAGGTCTTGTCTTACTCCAGTCAAAAGCTGGGTGCCTGGGTGACTTATAAACAATAGCTTTTTTTTTTTTCATAGTCCTGGAGGTTAGATGTCTGTCATAGTTACTTTCCTCATGGCTAGGACAAAATATCTGACAACTGCAACATAAAAGAGGACGGTTTTATTTTGGCTCACATTTTACAAGTTTCAGTCCTTGCATGGTCAGCGGCTCCAGGCAGAAGCAGCATGGTGGAAGAATCTGGTAGAGGAAAGCTGCTGAACTCAGTGTCCAAGAAGCAGAGAGAGTGAGGAGAGGACCACAAAGGGAGATACAATCTTCCAGGTCACACCTCCAGTGACTTGCCTCTTTCAACTAAACTGACTCCTAACAGCAAGTCAGCTATAAGCAATCATTACCCAGAAGCCCCATATATGAGTGCCTGAGGCTTTGGGGGAGCAGATCTAGCAGATCTAGATATAAACTATAACGAAGTCTAAGATCAAGGTGACAGCAGATTTGATATCTGATGAGAACCAGCTTCCTGCTTCAGACATGGTACCATCTTACTGTCCCTTCACATGGTGGAAGGGTTGAATGGCTTCCCTTGGGCCTCTTTTAAAAGAGCATGAATCCCATTCATGAGAGCTCCAGTCTCATGACCTAATCACCTTTCAAAGCCACCACTTAGTGCCATCACTTTGGCAGTTAGAGTGTTAAAATCTGAATTTTAGGGTCAAGCAATGAGACCATAGCAGGCCTATACTTGACAGGGAGGGCTTCAGGAATGTAACAGAGCCAAGAGGAACTTTAGAAAGCTACATCAAACATCAAACCCCTTCCTTTGTAAGATGAGTACTTGGAAGCCCAGAGAGTTCTGCATCTTGTCTCTGGAAAGCCTTAGGTGACTGTCTTGGGTTAGAAAGGCAAAACCAGGACGCCTGATGAGAGAAGAGAAAGAAGTACTCCCCACCCAGAGATGCAGGAATAGGGGTGGGAAAATCCAATGGGATACATGCTAATTAGAAAGTTTGAAGGTCCAGGGGACATCGGTATCATTTGGAACCAGAGTCAGAAATGTTCTGAAACTCTCTTTTCTGTTTCCCAGTAGGGTTTCTCTCTCAGATAGCTTTCTTCACTAAACTGGAAGTGGGATGTGGATGGTGCTTGGCATCTCAAAAAGAAGATCACCTCTCTTCCTTCAGTCCCTGAAGCCCAGGGAAAGGCCCTGATTGGTTTGGTTGGGCTCTGGACTTCTTGTGATTTGAGAAAGCATGACAGGGCATTTTAATTGTTGTCCTTCTTTAGAAGTATGTTTTTTTCGTGGGGAAGTTGAAGGAAGGAACAGACCTCCGCCCCCAAAAAGAGCAGTCATGTTTCTATAAAAAGAAAGGGGAGCTGGCCAGAGAAAACACTGGGTATCCACTGTCTCTGTTCAGATACTTTGAGTTCTTGGTAATAATTCCTACCTTGAGTTAATTTAAATGATGAAATTGGCTCATGTAACTGAAAAGGTTCAAGATAGGTTCTGTTTCAGAAGCATTTTGATTGTTTAAGTTCCTTTTCCCCATGACTTCTTTCTGTTGCATGTTTCCTGCTGTGTCTGTTGGTTTCATGATCAGGCTAGCTTCTAGAACAAGAAGTATTGTTCATCTCTTCAGCTGAAGTCCTGAAATTCATTCTGATTGGACTGGGTTAGGTCACAAGTCTAACTCTGAACGTTTTTATTCCCCGTGGTGTTGGGGGTTGAACTGAGGGCTTCCTGCATGGTAGGTAAGCAGAATACCACTGAGCTGTGTCCCTAGCCTCTGAATCATGGTTTTGTCAGGTAGAGCACACTAACTGGTTTTCCCTAGGCCACATGGTCCATCTCTGGAGCTTTGGTAGAATAGGCTTTCCTGGAAGGGAAAAGCACAGATGCTAAGGTGGGTGGCAACCCATAGGGGCCCATGTTATCACTGCAGAGATGAACAGAGTGGTTAAGGGAATCACCCCAATGACACACCAGTCAGTAGTGGTTATGAGATTTGAACTAAGGTTCACTTGATTCCCAAGATCATAATCATTCAACTAGAAATCCTTTCATTACTAAGTATGAACCCCTCCTTTGTATCTATCACCATATTATACACTACCCCAAACAGTAGCATAATACAATGACAGGTTATGGTTTTTTACAATTCTGCTCTCTAGGCTGAGCATGACTGAGCAGCTGTTCTGTTCCATGGGTGTCTCCGGGGATTAGAACCTCACCCATGTTCTTAGGGCCTCCATGGGGTGGCTGGAAGAGCTGCTTGCTGGTAGGAGTTTATCTCTGCACATGGGCTTACCAGTGGGGCAGATGGACCAGTACATGTGGTGGCCTTGGCCTCCAGGAACGAGCATCCCAAATGTATTAGGCTCTGCTAGTGTTGTTCTTGCCTATTTTCCTGGGCCAAGGCAAGTCTCATGTAAACCCAGTCTACAGAAGGCCGTGAATATTGGAAGGAGTAGGTTGAGACTGCTCAGTGTAGCTACAAGAGTATTTTCATCCCTTCCACCGATGTAGAAAGTACTCTATCATAAGTCAAGGAGCAGGAACCCCCCACCCCTTTGAAATCCTGCTCTTCTTTGAAATAAATACTCTTCACAGTTAGTCCAATTGAGGATGCAGTGTCCTGTGAGAGTTGTCATCCATGGACCCTCAAGGGACTGGGGGTGGGGAATGTGTAGCTGCATGGCCATAGCTACAGCAAAATTTGCTGGCAGCTCTGCAGCTAATGACATTTGCAGTTTCCATTAAAACCTGGCATTCTCAATATAAATTGTCCCAGATGCACACTTTGGAGTATGGGGCTTATTTTTATTTTATTTTTAAAAACATAGACTGAATATTAAGTTACTTGACTTGAATTTTCCCCTTAGGTTTTCTTTTGAGAGCTTTGTCTGTTTAAAGCCATAGTAGGGTGCCATACATTTCATCATCATTCCAGACACCCAAAGCATATGTTTTACTTTGGGCATTTTGCTGGGGGCAAAGAGGAGAGTACATCAGAAGGGAGGCCACTTATTACCCACCCAGTGGCCTCATCTAAGAATGTTTGTGCTATTCAACTAATAAATATCATTCTCTGTTTTCGCAGGGGGTGATCCATTTTCTTTGACTGGTTGTAAGTATTCTTTCCTTCCTTTTTTAAATTTTTGTAAATGTAATTGCTTGAAAATTGATATCTTTTTCCTATAAAATGTATCATCCTCATTCCATTTCTTTCCTTCTTCCCTTCTAGTGTAAAATTAGTTTGGACATATTCAAGTCCCTAAACCTCAAGGTTAAAATTTCTCAAGCTCAACGTTCTTAACATTATGTAAAAATTTTTCTTTTAGCGGGTGTGAGAGTATTTATTTTTATTTTCCATTTCCTTTGGCACAACAGTTGACTCAATCAGCTCCACATATGGAGGCTGTTTTAAGTTTAGTATTTTTATTCTCTTTCTCCTCTCATTCCACATATCAGTCTGAGTTGTGCTCTGAATCTTTTATCTTCTAGCTTAGCATTTTGGGGGGAATTTATTCTATTGATGTGTTCACCCCACTTTAGCTGTTTCTCTAATTATCATTTCATGGTTCACAAACAAAACATTTCAGAGTGTGGCATTGCTGGTAACTCCTAGTAGTGAATGTTTTGAAGTCAAATGATGAGTCCTTCCAATAGGTTTCCAGGCTATTTGCAAACAGTGAGTCAAATTTTTGTTCTTATCCAGAAAATAAAAATTGGGTGTCAAATTCTCTTTTGGAGATACTGAAGATTGGAGAATGATGATAGATTTCCTGTGGCTTTTGGCATTCCTGACAGTCTGCAGAATGGGTTGCCAAAGAGGTCATTAAAGATCGTGCCTACCACAATCCCCAAATCACTACCACTCTTAGTGAGGTGGTTTGTTTCCAGCTTACTGCACTTGAGAACCATTTGAAGGGAAAAGCACACATGACAATGTGATCATTCAAGGCTTGAACAGAACAACTGACAGTTGTCCCAACCACATGGCATTAGGACATGGACTCTCCCAGGACTGAAAGGAATTTAAGATATCAAGACCATTCTCGTTTATTAACTGGCCCTTTCCAGCTAAGTAAGATTCTTCTCTGGCTTAGAACAATTTCATGAATGATTTCCAACTTTGCTGGGGTTTAAGCACCCCTTTTGATGTTCATGCCAAATTCTGCACAGCATGGTTGATTAAGCTGCCATATTGGCCTGTCCTTGTGGGAGGTCCTGGCGAGGCTTATTTATATGGAAAATGTTAAGCTGTGTGATGTAGATTTAGACACAAAAAGTCGCATGACTTGGGGCTGAGATGGAGAAAAAGATACCCATTCAATAGCAGGAATAGCAAGGATTTTAAGGCCCAGAATCTGGATATGAGGCCTGGGAAACAGGGTTTACTGAGCAACAAAATCATTGCTTTACATGGCAGTATAGATTGTCTTGGCAAGCTCCTGTGGGACTTTCTGAGGAATGGAGGAAGAGTTGAAGCCAGGAAATCCCATTGCTGGGTTTTTCTTGGAGCTGGGAAGTGGCAGAGAGGGCACTTGCCCTTTGATGACTTGTGTTTCCATTGGAGAATTGTTTCTTTCCCACCCATCTAGATTGGGAGTGGGGAGTGACAATGGAGGTCAGGAGCCTGAGATCTGGCCAGTGGAATATGGGTACAAGTAAGGGAACTACTCCCAAGCCTGGGCCCCGAACCCTCTTACATGATCCTCTATGTTAGTGGATGTCACTTCCTAGGGCTAGGGCATGGGAGACAGTATGGAAGATGGCAGAGCCTCTGTCAGCTGTCTACAACTGGTTGTATGCATTGGATTTTCCTTCCTTCATTCCCCTCCCTCCTAGTTTCTATCATTGATATGAGGAAAATTAAATAATTCTATTTCATCAAAGCCTTAAGAACTTGGAATATACTAGTTATGGTGGACAGCAGTAGTTTAACCAATACCTAGGGATTCCTTGTACTTATGGGCAGCTGACCTTATACTCTACGGCCTCCATCTTGGCATGTTTCTGGGAGGCACTGTCAGGAGACACAGAGAAGCCACACTTGCTGATATCTCCTCTTGGTCTGGGTTGTTCTTTTCCTTTCAGACTTAGTAAAGTGTGAGAGGAGAAATGATTGCTATCCTAGAGTTTCATTTCTATCTTTCTCTGATATCGTTTCTGTGAACTGAGCCCCTTGTTCTTTCTTATCTGGGCCTATAACCAAAAAAAATTTTTTTTGATGACTATTTGGTATTCTCTGTGTAAGTAAGATGAATTAATTAATTAACTCCTTTTTTTTTTTTCTTTAGTATCAGGGCATTGAACCTAAGGCCTCCCACATGCTAGGCAAGTACTCTATAGCCAAGCTACGTTCTGGGCCCTTTTTATTTGTTTCTGAGACAGGGTCTCTAAGTTGTCCAGGCTGTCCTTGAATGTTCCATCCTCCTTTCTCATCCTCCCAGGTAGCCTGGATTACAGATGTACTCTGCTATCCTTGGTTGTGATGGGGATTTATTAAGCTCCCTGTTATCTGGTGAGCCCGAGGCTGGGACTGAGACAACAGAAACCAGTATCTCTTCCCAAAGATTTTACAAATTAAGTAGGGAATCAAGAGATTCATATGGACATCAACTAGAGGATGGTGATGCCATATGTGAACAGATTCTGTAGGAATTCAGCAAAGGAAAGATTCCTGTGGACTGGCTGGGTTGCAGAGGCTATTAGGAGACTGAAACTTCTTCATGGCCATGATCTGAGTATCAGGAACACTGAGTATGGCCGGATGCGATACTTACTAGGTCCCTGCTTACACAAAAGAACTTTTCTCAGCTGGGTGTGGGGGAACCTCCAACACTGTGAGCCAAAATAAACCTTTTCACTTTATAAGTTAATTATTGCAGGTACTTTGTTACAATATACACACACAGAGAGCGATAGATAGATATATAGTTATAACTATTTGTAGTTATATAATGATATAGTTGAGTAATATAACATTAAATAAGTTAGATTAAAACAAAGGTGATAAATAAATACTCAAAAATCATTACTTCCTGAGTGTTTTTGCTTAATTTTTGCATTATTTATGCTCTAGAAGTTATTTATAGACTACTGTAGCCAATAAATGATCTTAGGGGTTAAATTGTGCCCTTCTCTTGACAAATTCATGTTTTAAAGTCAAAACCTCTGTGCCTCAGAATGTGATCTTATTGGGAAATAGGATTGTTGCAGATGTAATTCGTTCAGATGAGGTCATTAGGGTGGACCCCTAACCCAGGATTGCTGGTATAAATAGGGGAAGTCTGGACCCAAAAAGACTCACACAGGAGGAAGTCCTGGTGAGGATGACAGCAGAGACAAGAGTGATCAGCAGCAGCCAAGTCACCAAACATCACCAGTCAGCAACTAGAAGGTGGGCAAGAGGCACGGGACATACTTTCCCACAGCTGGTGGTGTTTTGGGACGGCAGCCCCAGGAAACTTACATGGGTGGAAAGGCTGTTGTCCCATGGGTGGGGCACATCTGGGCCTCCCACTCCTGGTCAAGTGACTTATCACTGATGGCTTGAAATAGGCACCGTGGCCAATGTGTAATCAAATGCTACACATCAAGACTTGATTTATTGTTTTGTTGATTGTCTAGACAAGGAGCTGGTAAACTACCATTTGCGATCCAAATCTGGGCTCCTGCCTGTTTTTGTAAAAGTTTTATTGGAACATAGCTACAACACTCCTTAATTTAAGTGATGTCTGGGGCTGATTTCACAGTGCAGTGGCAAAGTTAAGCGCTTGCAACAGAGACTGTGTGGCTCACGAAGTGAACAGTATTCACTCTCTCCTTAAAGTTAAACCTCGTTGAACCCTTGGTCCAGATGTAAGAAAGCAATGCAGATAATGTGAAAAATAGAGATAAAATGTGAAAGTGTGCCTGGCTATAGCTATTACCTTGCAAATACCACAAAAGTAGGAGCAAATAAATCTCACAGTATTTGAAAACTGGTCTCTAATTCTGCAAAGAAGTTGTTCGTATTACTGGCCAATGAGTGCAGTTCTGATATAGATCTTTGTTGTTTTGCTTTCCTCTTGTTTATATAAATGAAAACATCAATCAACAGCCACATCGAACTACACTTGTTTATCAGTCACCACCATAGGTTGGCTACAGATAGAGTTTGACAAAAATCAATAGTAGCGTATATGAGAGTCAGTTGGCTATATGGAATTTACCAGATTGTGTTTATTGCAGAACAGTAAAGTGTACAATAAACCTGTGTCTATATACATATGTGCACATTTTTATCCCTGAGAGCCAGTTGTTAAACATTTACCAGCACAACACTTCCCCATCCTCCATGAAATACCCACAGCTGGGCAGAGGGCACCTGGTTCATGCATCTGTTGCAATATGACTTTGGCCTTGGCTTGGTTTTACCATTGTGTAGTTTTGGCTTTTGTAAGACAGCATAGTTGGTGGGAACAACTGCAGTAGAAAAACTCAGGGGCTCCAAGGAGTGGGACATGGCTAAAATCTGCCCTGGGGGAGAGCCTGCCGAGGAGGCCATGAATGCACATTCAGTTTGGATTTGATCCTGCCAGCCATAGGATCCCTTAAGCAAGGCAGCACCAGGGTGGAAGCACTGATTTAAGAAGATGGATTTGGTAACCATGTGAAGGACAGATTGGACAAGAACAACCAGCTCGGGGCTGCTGCAATCTGTGATTTAGAAAACAGAGCTCAGAAAGTCAATGGCTCTGCCCTAGGCATGCTGCCTGGCATTTGCAAAGAAGACTTGCAAAATGTTAAGAAACAGGATCCTTGCTTGCTGTGGAAGTCTCAATGGAGCCTTAGAGCCTACAAAACAGAAAAATAGAAAAGCACTTCTGAAAAGCTTTGCCAAATGGCTGTTACATGGCTTCCTACCATCCCTCTGTCACTTTCTAGGTGCCTCTTAGAAATGAAGAAGCAGTTTTCAAATAGGCTTTTCTTGACAACAGGCAGGTACAGGCAGAGGGCCTCCCTGTGAAACAGAGAAGAATGGCACATTTGCAGGAAGTCAGGAGGCTCTTGGGCTCCATGGGAGCTGTACTGGGGTGGGGCCTCCCTACACCCTGGGATCACTCCTAGTAGAGCATT